CACTTCCAGGTGCCATTGTAATATATCCCCCCCCCACTTCCAGGTGCCATTGTAATATATCCCCCCCCACTTCCAGGTGCCATTGTAATGAGATGATCGATGTTATTCATTTCACCTCTCAGTGGTCAGAATGTTGGGGCAGATCGGTGTAGGTGCAGTGCCAGCAGTGAACACTAGGTGGTGCTCTGGAGCGCTCATCCTCTATTATGTGACACTGACCCTCCTCTGTGCTCCTCGCTGAGCATGTGACAATCGCCTTCCAATTGAATGCGTTACTGGCTATGACACATAGGACTCCGCCTCCTCACGCCTCATATTAATGTTTCTGTCCCCAAGAAAGCAGCACCTGCAGCCGTTCACTCATCGGGAGTGTGAATACATTGTGAACACATTGCGTCTGCCAGTGCCCGGAGAATTGTTACAATGTAATTATAAATCGCTGAGACACATTACCCTGAACACACTTCCTCACAGCAAGCTGCCTATTATACAACGCTGACACACAAATCTATTCATTGGGCACAATGAGTGGCACAGTGGTTTGCACTTCTGCCTTGTCGCACCGGGGTCCTGCATTCAACTCCCGAGCCAGGACACGATTTGCATGGAGTTTGTATCCTCTCCCTGTGATTGGGTTTAAGCCGGATCCTCCAGTTTCTTTCCACACTCCCAAGGACATGCTGGGAGGATAATTGGCTCCTCTCTAAACCAGCCGCGTGTGTGAATGGGAGATGAGGACCGTAGATTGTCAGCTCCTGGGGGGTTTTCTGTATAATAAATAAAATTTCCGCCACAACACTGGAAGGTGATTGGACCACATCGGCCCCATTACCCCGAGTTGAACCCGGAGAACAATTCCTGGACACGGAGCCACGTTCAGCGCCCCCCGAGTCCATGATGGAGATTTAAATCTGAGCTCCATACAGTATACATATAGGGGAGCTGTGCTACCTACCAAAAGACTTCTGTCCATTCAGTCCTGAGATCTACACTGCTCAGTGAAGTCCTGTATAGCGGGGGGAGGAGCCTAATGCTGTCACAGTGATCGCTGCCCAGCTGCAACCATGGGTCTGAGCGCTCTCTAATGCACACTGACGTTCCCCGCACACACGTGTTCTCAGGGACATGCGGTATCTGAAACCACTAAGGGATCATTCATATCAAATCAATGCACACAAAATGCAATGCGTGCCGATGCAAGTTTTTTTTTTAATGCGTTGTGGTGCGTTTTTTTGGGTGCGAGTGGAAACTGCTGCAATAAAATGCGAAGCGTTTGATCGGCAAACTGGCAGCAGCGGAAATAAGGGGATTTGCTGCATCTCTGCATCGGGACTGCTGAACGCAGGTGGTGTGAACCGGACGCAAAAAAAAAAGGGGGCGGGGTCTTGCTGCAAATCAAGGAGCAGAGATACTCTAAGGTGATTAAGGGGTTAAAGGTGCACCGGGGGGAACCTGCTGACTTCGGCACCGCTGTGGCGTTTGCTGGAGAGTGTTTGCAGCTTAAAGGAGAACTATGAGGGGAGTGGAAATCAGTCAGCCTCATAGTTCGAGCCGACCTGTGACAATGAGACTGTCACGGGTCGGCTCAGTGGATCGGGAAGTGAGCGAACACATACCGGCGCTCGCTCACTTCTCGATCATCTCCCTGCAGACAGCGGTGACTGTCACTCACGGCTCCCTGCAGGGATTCCCCCCCTCCCTGCTCCGATCCTCCAGCGCTGACTGGCGGAACGGACGGGGGAGGGGGCGCGCACAGCTGGCTCTGCCTCTAGATGGGCGGGGCCAGCTGTCACTCACGCAGCTGGGTGGATCTCGGCAGTAATGTCGGGATCCTTCCCGGCTGCGGCGGTCTCAGTATACCGCGAGCTATAGCTCCCTATATACTGAGCTTAGGGTGACGGGAGGACGCTAGTATATGTCCTCCCTTAGGAGAACTATGGGGAAAACACTGACCCCCATAGTTCTCCTTTAAGGATGGCGGTCGTTCGTTGCCGACCATTTTGTCGCGCTTAGCAATAGGGGATTAATGGAATTTCCGACGGCCGATAGCCTCATACCTTCCCCCGCCGGGGTCCCCTAGGTGACAGCAGAGGTGATGTATTATGCGGAATCCCACCTGAACCCGCCGCCACCGCATCTCACCCGGCACAGCGGGGGCTTTTCACCACAGCAACGCGATTATTAAAGTGTTTTATGCAACAGTCGCTCTTGTCTGCAATTAAATCTGCGAGCGCGGCTCCGTGGCTGCCGTCCAGAAACTGGCGGCTTCCCAGCAACAACAAAAAAAAAAGGCCGATTCATCTCCGCGGCGGGAAAACAACATAACCGCGACTTCACCGGGAGCAACAATGCTGTGCAACACGTCTCAAAATTATAGATCTCTCGTCGGTGAACTCGGCCCCGCGGCTTCGCGAGGACGCATCTGACAATAGCCGCCGAGGGC